TTCATACACATTTTGGTTTAAATTTGTGGCTTGACATGAATGTTCGTGTAGTGTGATAGTTGTACATATAAGGCACATCACAGGTACTGTACAATCTCCTAGAACTTTTCCTTCTGTATTCCTGACTCTTGGGGTTACACATGTGGAAACACTTACAACATCGAAGAATCCAAGTCCAATTATCAGAGCTGTCAGAGTTTCCTTTCAGTAACTTTTTTTTTTAATACTTTTTGTTCTTTTACACATGATAATAATGATAGCAATAACAATGCATGGCATACCATTTGAGGGTATTATTGATAAATAACCCAACTATGCTTATTTTGGGGTCTGTAGTATCAGTTAATAAAGACATATGTGAGGATACATTGCATTAGCATTAGAAATATGTTCTAAATACACAAGGGCAGAGCTGTGGTTCCTGTAAAACCACTGATGGTTGCAGAATAAAAACCTTCCTGTAAGGTAATAATGGATGGAGTAGGTAGCAGCCAGATGCAAGAAGAAAAAAAATACATTCACCTGAGTTTTGAGAAGAGCTGGGTGGGGGGGAAGGAAGAAAGCAGGAGAGACTTTCTGAGTCAGGAAGGTACATTCAACTTACAGGGGCTTTCTAAAAAGTGAAAAGTTCCTGAAGCAGCAAGGAAATGCGGAGGGGGACAGATTTCACAAAGGCAGGCTGAAGGAAGGCTCTGGAGAATATATTAAACAGCACCAGGGTTAGTAACACAGGTAAATTGTTTTCCCCAATGGGCTGTCAAAGTCACTGTTCTCAAATGTGATAGAGACAGGTACCATCCTGATGGATGTCAAAGATCACAGGAGTCTAAATGAGCAGGGAGTTTATTAAAAAAAAAAAGAAAAAAGAAAAAACCCATCACACAGGAACCTTTATTATGTAATCAGAAATAGTTATGGGAAATTTTAGTTTTTTAAACATATTGCTGCATTGCCTTCAAACAAGACTTTAACCGTAACTTAGAAGTTCATGCCTATTAACTGTAGCTTTTTGGTCTGGAAACTCAGCTATAAATATTACACAAACTCTTTCTCTAGGTCTCTTGCAGTTCTTGGATCCAATTGGCTGAAAGCCACCATGAGACCAAAGTTTCTTCGAGTAGTTTTAAATGTCCTTGTTTTATTAACCTTTCTTGACAGAAATGAACTAAAATGCTGAATGGAAACAGAGTTTGTGTCCCTCTGTACTTAAAAGCAAACATGTAAAATGGTGTATGTCATTGCTCCATCTCAGCTGATTTACCTACTCCTACTGCAAGTGTTTTCCTTAAAGCAATAAACCCTTCCAATGCAAATACTTCCTTCCAGAGCTGTGACATCTCCCTGATATATATTGCCTGTTCAAAATAAACAAGTACTGAAAACAGGTTTTTACATCACTACAGCTTTTTACATCACTACAAATATGAACCAAGGTCTAGCAATTATTTCTCAGATAATAGTTTTTCTCTTGGAAATAAAATCTTCTGGAACAGATATATTCAATAGATCAGGATAGCCCTGGACAAATAGGTTTGATAAATGACCAGCTAAGTCTTACAGGCCAAAACTCTACTAAATATGTCACAATAAGCATAGTGCAAGGATGTGATGTGGTCAAGCTGTGCCTGAACATCATATCCATGGATAGTCTGTGGATCATGGGCTTCAAAGTTTTCTCTATGTAAGTTTAGCAGTTTTTTCCTGCATTTTTTAAAATCATATTGTTCAGAAAAATAGGGAGATCTGTAACATGCTTATCAACACAGGGAGCCCCAGGGGAGTTTTTTTAATTATCCTCCCCCCCCCAAAAAAAAAAAATTATTATTTCCATAACTATTCAGCAGCTGTGGTAATTTGAAAATTTTATCCAGTTCCTATTAATGAATTATTGTGGCAATATATTATAGACTTAAAAACAAACCAGCTGCTACCACTTTCCAATATGTTTCTCAGGCTTTTTGACAGTTTCTGGAATAAATTTAAATTTTCCAAATGACAGGACTGTGAGAACCAAGAGTGCTTTGCACAGCAAGAGTGCTGGGGGATTGCAGCTTTATAACCAAGTGGGAGCCCGAAATCCGACATCAGCTTCCAAAGCCACTCACCAGCACCTTTGATCTCATTATTGGGAATACAAATAGAAGCATAGCACACCCCCAAACCAACAGGAACAGGTCAGATTTACTTACATTGAAACAGAGCAAACCATCAAGTGTGACTATTCTATTTCCACAGCACTAACAGCATCAGGCAAACCACAGCTTGGTCAGCACAGCAGCTCCCTAGCTCTGCTTTGAGGCTAGCAGTTTTGACACTGAGTCTAGGGAGAGTAAAACACAGCTCTGAGGTTTCTTTTCTATCTATGAGGTTTTAGCCATATAGCTATAGATATAATATATAGGTATCACCTGGTGCAAATGATATTCTGAAGCTCAGAAAGTTGCCTGTAGTCTTAGGAGCCTATATCAGAAAGACTGCTGGCACACAGTGTTACACTTTGCTCTTTCTTCTTGACCATGACGATGCAAAGGTAAGACATTTACAGCCTGGATTTGTCTGACCAATTTTAGACTTCTAAGTGCTTTTGAGGTGTGATTCATCCCAGGAGAGAGATCAGAGAAGCTATATCCAGCACCTATTTTACTTCATCAATCCTACTAGGAGTCAAGGGTGCTTAGCTGAGAGAGTCACCTGCACTGTTGATGGTTTCAATTAGGGATCCAGCAGGTGTCTCAAGTCATCTAATTTCTCTCTAGTTGCATGTCTCAAAAGACAAAGTGCCACAGGGAAAATTATATTAATAAATCCCAAAGCCAGGCAACCATGGCTTGTAACTTACAAAACGACCAGATTCTTCAGATATTTCTGTTCCCTTGAAGGAGAAGCCATGTCTGTGATTACACCAAAAACTGCTTTAAGCATCCAGCTGTTTTACACTCCTCATTAAAATTCACCCAGCTACCGCACATTCCAAAGCACGAGAACAGAGACACATTTACTAAGATATATTTACACTAATCTGACCCAAATCAGCGCTACTCGTCCAGGATCAAATTCCATCCCAACGTGAGCACCAAAGTGAGTTAAACTCGCAACATAAAGTGCTGGCAGAGTCCTATTTTGAGAACTCAAGTATCATTTAAGAATCATGCTGCTTTTCCGCAGCGAGCACAAGTCTAGTCCTTGAGATTTATTCTCTCATTTCACAGGGAAGAGCCGTATGGCCTACCACACTCTGCCTTTTAAGAAGGACATTTCACAGATATTCTGCAAGCATGGTTGGATAAGCACTTTCTCAAGTTGTGTGGACCAATTCTCAATAGCTACTTGTCAAGCAGGGCCAGATGGTTGAAGGCATTTAAGCATCGCAAGGCCTAAACAAATAAGGAGCTAATATCACATTACTCACTCAGAGAGACATCTCTTCTTCACAGCACTCTCCCCCAAAGAAACAAGGCATAAGTTCCTAAATGACCTTGGACATGGAGTGATGCCCAGGGAGTCCCAACCTAGCACCGAGCATTTTAGCCACTGAAATAATTTGCTGAAGGTGCATCATTGCAGCTTCCATGCCAAACCAGAGGTCCTGCTTTTCTGCATTCCCCTGAGGGAATTGCAGCAGCTAGGAGGGTGTACAGAAGGGACAGATAAGACATACCACTGAGAGACTTAGCTACATCTTACTCTGCTGTGTGGGTATAGCCTCAGGATCACAAAGGTGGAACTCCCAACTCCAACAGCCTTGCAACACTAAACAGAAGGGGTATTTACAGCCTTTAAAAAACCTAGTCTTCATTGCCTGAAACCCTACAGCAAGATTGCTTGCCACCTGCCTAATTAAATTGACCATTTGTTCCTATTAGAGGCAGCTGGGCTACTTAAAGCAATGAAGGTGGCACAGGAGGGAAGTGACATTTTTGTTTTGGGAAAAGAGTGTTTGCAGCACTGACAGCACTGAAACATTCGTCACTATGAAAAGGTGACATTCTTAAGTATGTAACGAAAAAAGGCATTCACCAAACATGAGCCCTTTCAGAAGTTCAAATTCAAGAAATGTGTTTCCTTAAAGATATCCTTTGCTCCTATTGAGGAGATTTGCACCAAATAAAAGAATTGTGTCTCTGACAATGCAAAGCATTCACTGGCCACAGTTTAAAGCATACATATTTGCCTTTTGATATAGGACATCTGTGAGCTAGCAACAGTAATAAATTTGAATGTTAGCACAGATCATTTTCCAAATTTTAGGTCAAATGCTATCAAATTTAGCTTATCAGCTCATTAAGATAAAACAAGCCCTTTTGTAATTAGCTTTCTGATTAGTTGCCTGGTTCCAGAACCCGGGACACAGTAAATAGGTTCCTTTTTTTTCTTGTAGCATAGTGTGAATGCTTAATGCCCACTGGTTATCCTTATAAATCATACACAGGGAAATCACTGCTTGAGCCCTTGCTAGAAGAGGGGAATGTGATGATTTCAGCATGTTTGAAAGAGACATTCCTGAGATAGCTAACTGTTCTGTAATTTTATCACAGTACAAGGCCTGAGCTTAGTGGTTAGGTTCCCTGATTTGCAATCATACTGGTTTTGGTCTTGTCAGACTTCAAGCTGCCCAGTGATAAGCTTTTGAGCTGGATGCTTTGAGAGTAGCGGTATTTGTGTTCACGGGTGGCAGCCTTCCCTATGAGCAAACATAAAAAATGCAGAGCTCTTTGCCGCAGGAAACTCTGTCCTTTTGTTGGGTGCAGAGTGCAGGTATAGCCCTTTGCAGGTATAAGACATGGGAAAAAAAGAGTTGTGCCATATGGGGAGAAGTAAAATAGTCACCATTGTAGAAAGGAGGACTTGAGTGTGCTCCAGAATGCCTGGAAGAGCACCAACAAGAACAATTTAGTGAAGCTGTATGTCATATCTCAGGTCTTGTGCTGGTGTAGCTGTGAGGAAGATAAAAAAAAGTTACCTTCTTTTAATACATTTCACAAAATGTGTTCTTATTTTAGAGTCTACATATCGTCACCAGGCTACCATTGATGATGAAGTGGTTTCCATGGAGATACTAGATACAGCTGGTCAGGTGCGTGGGTACATGTACTATTATCCAATGCCTTGGCTCAGATAGACAGCAGGGAGGGGGAGCGCGGTGGTGGCAGCAGTGCAGTGGGTGGCAGGTATGGTCCGATTTGGGGACAGAGATTTGCTTCTGAGCAGAGCTCACCCTCCTCCACCACCATCAGCTTGCTGCTGGACCCAGCATGCTGAATCCAGACCCTTCTGCAAAGGACCCTGCTTAGAGTTGTCGAACACTGGAAGAACAAACAAGGTCAGGGTTTACTCTGGGATTAAAATGATTTTGTTCTCATTCCTTGATTCAGGGCCAACCCAACAACATGTTATTACTATGCATGAAGTCACAGTCTATTTCTACAGTCAAGTGATGAGGCTTGACAGCCTCAATGATTCCCACCAAAGTGAAGAGCACTTTTGTCATAGCTAGGTCCCCATTCCTTTCAAAACATGGCAGATGCTTATGTTGCACAGTCCTATGCAGTTTGTGTGCTGGGTATCATTGCAATCGCCTGCTACCAGCCTGCCCACAGGCAGTCCATGACACCTTGGTAGAGTAGATCTCCTATGCTACATGATAAAAAAGGTGACGTGCATAAAGCATACAGTAAAGCAGATGTACATGGCTTTGCTGGCTTTGGAGGACCAATGTCTATCTGAAGGCATGGTGTCTTCTTCGTAAATCAAATTCCTAAGACTGGTGTCTGTCTTTTCAAAACAGGAGGACGCTATTCAGAAAGAAGGACATGTGCGATGGGGTGAAGGCTTCGTGCTGGTTTACGACATCACGGACAGAGGCAGCTTTGAGGAAGTGCTTCCACTTAAGAACTTGTTGGACGAAGTTAAAAAGCCCAAAAATGTCACACTGATCCTGGTGGGGAACAAAGCAGACTTGGATCACTCCAGGCAGGTCAGCACAGAGGAAGGTGAAAAGCTGGCCACAGAACTAGCATGTGCTTTTTATGAATGCTCTGCTTGCACAGGAGAGGGCAACATTATGGAGGCCTTCTATGAGCTCTGTCGTGAGGTACGGCGTCGAAAGATGGTCCAGGGCAAGACTCGGAGACGAAGCTCCACCACCCACGTCAAGCAGGCAATTAATAAGATGCTTACCAAAATCAGCAGCTAAAAAGAGCTGTACTAAGCCAGAGAAGCATTTTAGAGCATATTAGCTTGGTGTAGGGACGAGGCAGGCAGAGCACATTTAATTAAAAATGGTCAAAGCTTTGCAATTAAAAAAATAGAAAAGACAAACCACACCACTTTTTTGAGTAACACGGGGTCAGACTTTTTTCCTGTTTCGAGATGTATTTAGCCTATTTAGCCACACTGCTTCTGGCTAACATGAAAAAAAAAAAAAAAAGAAATAAAAAAGCAAACTCCAAAGGACTAGATGGTTGTGGGGATTGGCACTGACAGAGCGTCTTCTGCTTCTACAAGGCTGGCTCCAATTCCCTGCAAGTCAGTAGTGCCTAAACATCATTTCCAGCCAGCCAGCTGCTCAGTAGCCACTGGAGAGTAAATTCAGTCCTCAGTCCATCAACAACCATCACAACTGGTGTTCTCAAGGACTGAATACATGTAGAGGCTGCTGTGTTTTACCAGAAAGTTCATCAGACACATTTCACCAGCTCTAAATTGGCGCATTGTGTGCTTTTACTCCAAACTGTCCTTCCTTGTTGTTATTTTTGTCAAATCTATGAATGCTGATGTTCTTAGCGAGGTATACAAAAAATATAGGAAAGGTCTTTTCCATGGAGCGTTTAGCCAGCAAGACACACATTTCAAGAGAGCAGAAGTTCAGCTGCTTTTCCAGATCCTCTGAAACTGCAGAATTTATCAAGAAATAATCAGCTAGTTCAGTGGCATTTCGGCATTTCCCCCTCGAAGTGCAGTACTGCACTTGGGGAAATGGGAGTGTATGTGTTGGGAAATTAAATTAAAAAAATAACCATACTACTATTGATTTAGTTATGGGTAGTTTTTAGCTTTTGTTTACTTTTTTGTTTTGCTCTTATTTCAATTCAAGTGGTTCCTGTTATTCTATCTTATACTGAAGAAGAGCTGAATCCATGGGAAGGCAAATATTTAAAGTCTAAGCCCAAATGTAAATCAGATGTGAATGGCCTCTACCATATCAAAAGGCCATAATTTCCAGCTGTTTAAACTTCCAGATGTTGCTTGAAGCACTCTGTGGTTTAAACCAGCACAGGTTTTTTGTGACTCTATCTGGCACATTCAATTGAAAGTGCATTTTATCAGATTTTTGTGCCTGAGATAAAAGGTGTCCAGTTTTTCTCCTCCCTTCTCCTCCCTTATGCGTCTCATTTAAGCCAGTTTTGCTTTGTTACTTGGCTTATTAACTGTATGCTAAGAGATGCAAGAACCAAGACTGAAAGACTTTCATTCAGATTGTGCCCGTCTCCCACCAGTTGTGTTGCATCCCTTTAGGCAGCGTGGTGTGCAGCTCAGACTGGCATCATGTAGAACCACAGCCAAAGGTTGGGATGACAAATGGAAGTATTAGCAGTATTCTCCTTTGAGGAACAGCTCTCTTGCAGCAACTACTTACAACTTTATTCTCCACTGCTTTGTACTTCATATGGTTATTTGACTCTCTGAGGAAGTAGCACCAAAAGGCTACCGAACGCAAGTTGCCACAGATGTAGAAGAGTGAGGATATCTGGTTGGATAGCACTTTATGCAGTTATAGGTAGCCATATAAGAGGTGGAAATGGCTGGAGAATCAAGCATGTATATCCCTGTGGACAGAGAAAATTCCCAAGTCAGGACTTTCCAAAAGGATTCGCTTAAAGATACTTAAACAAAGTAATTTTTTTTAAATATTCTCTCACCATATCTTTTACCCAACCAGCATCAAAGAACATCACATTCAGGTGTATATTTAGCTGTCCTGTTGTTTATTTTCTCTGTTTCCCCCATTCTAGATAGTGAAAATTCTTTCCACTCTTCTGGAATCAATATCTATATCTTGGTCCACATATTCAGATACGTTGCCATACACCAGCTACACACACTGCAATGGAAACTTCACCATGTGCTTCTGGGCAGGGGGTTCTTGCAACAGGTGACGTCGCTATCTCCATGACATACCTGTGCCCAAACTATCAGTCATATCTCTAACTTTTGTGAAAGAAAAGAAGAGAAGTTTTGCCATTTTTAGTCCTATTAGTAATGCAGAATTAATACGAGTGTAAAAGAAAGAGCTAGTGCCCGTTCGCTCATCAGTAGTCATTAGCTGAAGGTGTGAACTTGCAAAGTGTATGTTACCTTAGGAGCCAGAGTGAGCATTTAACTAAGTCATTCTGTTGTCTTTCAAATCAGTGCTGTTGCATGAATTTGAAGTAAACACAGTCCTTACCTGCAATCCTATGGCAACATAGCTGAGAGGAAAGTCTTTGTGTCTGTATGCTAAGCAATTTATTTATCCCTCCCTAAAATATATTCAACAGTTCTTTTCTCCGAAAACCTTTCTTGGGCTTCAGAGTTGACCTGCATTTAAAATACAAAAAGGTAATATATCAATGACAGGAGAAAATAATTTAATCATATTCATATTAGAAGAGCTGAAAGGAAGGAGGGGCTAAGTTATGACCCTAATACTTTCCAAAAGAATCCCAGCAAATTATATCTTCTTTTATAATGTCTGTATGGAGAAATTATAAAATCCTGGTGAAAGAAAATGTTCCACTGTGCAAACATGACTTGTTACATAAAGAACCTCTAATAAAAATAGTAACATTCCTTTGCAAAGACTGAGTTTGGAAACTGCCGAACATGATAAACAGTCAAAAAGGAGGCTGCTATTTTGTGACCTTTCCTCCCACGCAAACACAAATTTCTTTACTTAATTGCTCATTAATTTTTTTCCTTGGTGTAATGGGCTGCTTGTCAAGCCAGTTATAATATAGAATATTATAATCTGTTGATACATATTACATAGTATTAAATGCAATCTAATTTACTGTTGCTCACAATGTTGCAACATATTATTGGCTATGCTATAAATGTGTCATATTTCTACAATGTGCAAATTGAGCCAAAAAGTGCCCAAGCATTGAAAAGGCCAAATGCAACATGAACCCACATTCGGTAGCCTTTCCGCAGCAGACATCAACAGTTTAAATTCTTTCTACTGCTGCTATTTAAATGTACATATATGACACTAACATTAAATTCCTCTCCTCTGACCGTTATCATTTCTGCAGAGAGAGGATGGGAAGGATGATAAACAAAAAGGGGGAGGAAAGGTGAAATGGATACTTGTTACCTACAACAAGTTGATTATCATTTATGAAGTTTTTAAATATTTATCTTCAATTGATGAAGAGTTAGTCATGCCCATGCTGCAAGACCTGGATCAGGAACCAAGACTTCCCTAGAACTTTGAGAATCTTCGTATCTGGGGGTTCGGTGCAACCACGGATGGAAGTGAGGATCAGCCACTGGGTTTACACCTGGATCCAGACAAGTTGTCCCCAAACCTGGGGATAGTTGCATCTGGCAGTTTGCTACAAGGCTAGTTGATTTTTATATATATAATGATCTGTATGCATTTTTACATTAAAAATATGAAAGCTTGTGCTTGTAGATAATATATAAGAAAAAAATAAAAATAAAAATAAAAAAATAGTGCTCTCGATACTGAAGTCTTACGCATTGATCTTCTGTTAGTTGTCTCCGAAGTGGTGTCTTCCAGCTTTTAAGTGGCCAGTTCCAGAAGTCCTGATTCATTTGTTATTTAATCTTTACCTAAGGAAAACAGACAGTGATTTTTGCCTGAGTAAGCACTTCAGCATTTGGATCAGTTTGTTGAATTTATTTGGCTGCTAGGCCTGGTATCGAGAGGTCAGGCAGCGTCTACTGTGAAGCACAGAACCAAATGTCCTTGCTAACTACTTCAAGGCAGATCAAAAAAAGCTACAGTGCCAGGGTTATTAAATGACCTCAGTGAAACCCACCACCTAAACTCTGTCCTGCCAACTAAATAACATGGATCTTGATCCCAAGCTTCTCAAGTAAAATTTTGGGCTAAGAGGTCTGGGAGATTTATGCCAGCAATTTGGACAGAGACAACTTTTCACCTGCTGCCAGCTATGCCCATTTTCCAAGGATAATGGCGCTGTTGTTCTGAAGAGAAGGTACATCACATGTACCTTATGTAAGGTACATTATATCAGTGATATACAATCACACATAGTGTGGGTACTAAGCTATAGCAGAGGAAGCTTCATCGCAGAAGAGGGGAACCAGCTGTACTCCACTCTCTTGTTTTCCTTCAAACGTGGGCCAACCAAGTAACCCAAAGCATGATCATAAACAGCTGAAAGGCAGTAGGGGTATAAGAATGCCACGTCTGGCAGAGCACTGCATGAAACCTGGATGCAGGATCTATGCTGTGAGGTGAAACCTCCCAAAACTAGGTAAGGCATCCTTCCAGTCACTGTCTGCCTCTAGCACTGCAAAGCAGCCTTGAGTTATGTCAAGCTGCACTGTAACTCGCTCCAGTCAAAATCATGTTTCCTGCAAAATAAGTAGCTGCAGTCATAAAGGCTATGTATAAACAGTGTTTGGGGTTCCTTTTATCTTTCTCTTTAATGGCTCAATCCATTTGCATATCTTGAGAAGAAAAGAAAAAAGACAGAGGCTTTAATTAAAAAAGGCTCCTTGGCATTTTGATATGTCTGCCTTTATGTTCTTTGAAAAATTAAACAGATAATGAAAACAGTGTCATCTTAGAAACTCTGATGTTACGCACTTCATTTCCATTACAGATGCCAGGCACTAATTACTGCAGGGTTATGAAAATACAGAGCAGCGGCTTGTGGTCCCATGCTTTGCAAGGTTACTAGGAGGCGATAATGATGGCTTGCGCGAGGCCAGTTCAGTCTGTTAACACAGTTCCACATGAGGAAAGCTACTGCTGCAGCTCCCAGCAGAAAGAGACAGGCTAAGTTCCCGGGACAGGACTCCACTGACTCCGGAGGGGTTATGGACAGGACAGGTCAAGCCCCTGGTTCACAGCCTTGGTAGCCACGTGTGGAGAAAACACTCCAATAGCCAACCTCTCTCATCCATCTCTTGAAGAATCTCTCCTCCATTTTTGATCTGAAGTAGACCAGTAGGAAACTGGGAGGTAAGTTTACGCTGCTGACTGTCATCTATTAAATTGGAGAATATGATGGGAGTTTGGTCTTCTGCCTTTCTGGACTGGTCTCTCGCCTCTGCTAGATTCCCCAAACCAGCATTTTTCTTTTCCCACTGCTATTGTTTTAAAATAAGGGATTTTTTAAATGGCAGGTGTCAATATACTCTGATATCCAGGGATCTTGTATAGGCCAAGAGGCTGTATCACTTCTCGGAGGTCCCTCTCACAGGAATGCAGTATTTACAAATGCCTCTGGATGTAAATTCTTAAAGCTGAACACAGCTGCTCTGAAGAGTTGGAAATCAATCTTTTTGATAAGGGATCATCTCACAATTATAGTGCAGACCCCTTTGTCAAGTACCACAGTCCTAAACCAGACTGAAACATTCTGTATCACTAGGAGCAGCTACGTCCTACCATGAAATATTAACATGCAGAAT